GTGGGGGGGTCGGGTTTTGTTTGGCCCCGCGCAAGGCAGGGGCCATTCCCTTCCCTCAGCGGCGCCTCCAGCCCCGTCCCGTTTTTATCCGTCAGCGGTACGCGATGCTGTACCTCGTGCCTGCCGTGCCTCTCGGCGGGGGGGGGAGCGGCGCCGGGACTTCTCTTCCCACCCAAAAGCCGCCGACGCTCCCTGCGGGGCTTGGAAGGCTGCTGGGTGACTTCGTAAGGATTTGCTGGGGGGGGACGTGAGCCTCTTCCAGGTCCCTAGAAGTCTGGGAGTTGCAGCGTAGAAGCAGAGGTTGTTCGGCTGGTTTCCTCTAAAGTGGATAAAAAAAAAAAAGATAAAAAAGTTTGAGAGGTGCCTAATGACTCCACCGGTAGCCCACAGTGCTGTACAAGGTTTATGCTATTTCATTGAAAGAGTTTTAATGGAATAAAATAATCAGAAGGTTCAGAAGAACGTGATTTTTCCTCTCCAAGCGAAAATAAAAATCTGTTTGTTACGAAATGCACTAAACAGGACTTGCAAAGTTATTGTTATACAGACCATTTTGTACCGTCTTGGCATTTAACCCTTAAGCACGTGCACTTCCTCAGTTGCTCTGCTCAATGCAGCACCTGCTTGCCACCTGGATTTTAGTGAATTTTATATCTACTCCTAACTCCAGCGAAATGCTGCAGGAAAGACAGTACTCTGGTCAGTAAGGTTCTGCCTTGAGGTTTAGAAATTATTGTTACATACTAAGTTTGGCTGGCAGAGACGGATGTAGGGAATGGTCTGATGTGACATTTTCAGCTGAGTGGGTCTATGATTCAGCAGTGCTGAAGTACAGAAATTTGGGTCAGTGAGACCTTGGGCAGGGGTGATACAGAAAACGAGGCTAGTGCATTTATGGTCGCTGGAGCCAAACTGGATGTACCACGCATCCCTGTAAAGCAGTGCCATGGAAGTGGCTGTTCCCTCACGAGAATGCGAATCTGAAGGATGTCTGCAAGAGATGCGTGTGGTGATACGGCAAAAAACATGTCTCAGTCGGCTTGCATCTAGGTGTCCATGTTCTGCCATAGTTCTTATGATTGTTGATGGAGTAGAACTCAAGGGAAAACGTGAGGTGAAGGTTTTAACTCTGAACCATTGAAATGCTGTATTTTCTCAATTCGTTTGTGTGTGCTGAGCAGCAGAGTAACAATATTTCTATTGCTTTTCAGCTATGAGAAGCCTCCCCCAGGGCTAATTAAGGTTGGTAAATACATCGCAATAAGTTTTCAGCGTTACAAGGGGTTTTCACACAGCCTGTTTAAGTGTCTACGTTACCTATATAAATTACAGAGAGAAGGAGGCGCTTCCAGGGGAAAACTCAGAGCCCCCCAGTTACGAGCCAGCCGCTTTGTCATGGTGAATCCCGAGTGAAATGCCCAGAATCAAACAGGGTGAAACCAGTTCCTTCATCGCCGCTTAGCATGCACGCTTAATGCAGTACTTAATAGTGCAGACAGAGAGGGGTCATTTGTGGTGAGGCAGATTGTCACTTTGAGTGACATCTTTTCAGGATCCTTCCCCATTGCTTATGCTCAAGTAACTGTGTAAAAATACTTTCCTTTCGCAACGATCGTTGCTTTTGCCAAATTTATATACCTAAGCCATAATCTAGTGCTTTTAACCTAAAAAAAGTACTGCTCTGTGTTGTAAAGGCTGTTTTTAATTATTATGTCCTGTTTTCAGGAAAAGGAAAAAGAAGTGTCTGCCTGCCTGTTAAGTTTTCATTTATATTATTTATTTAAATAAATTAGTCAAATAAATGGGAAGGAATGGAATTGATATGGGAATAAAATTCAGACTGTAAAATTTAAGGGTGATGGAAGAAGAAAATTACTTAGTGCTGTTAAAAGGGCCGGGTATTTTGGATCCTTTATGTGTTACGATAAAAAGAAAGATTACAGGAGAAGTAGGTTCCATACTAAGTGAAGGCCTGCACACTTGGAGTATTAATTTTTACAAAGTTAAAAAAAAAGTGATTTTATTGTTCTTTTCATAGGAGAATGAAACAAAACCAGAAGACTGCATACCTGATGTGCCAGGCAATGAAAGCGCCCGAGAATTCCTGGCACATGCCCCAACAAAAGGGCTTTGGATGCCTTTGGGAAAAGAAGTCAAAGTCATGCAGTGTAAGGCTGAAAATATTCCAGATGACATTGGACCTTCATACCACCACCCGTTTACTCTGGGGGAGGGCAGAATGTCTGGCGGACAGTTATCAAGGTCCAGGTAGATGGCATCACACGGATATAAAAGCAACTGGTACCTTGAAGGCTGTAATAAAACGCACAAAATGCAGTTTTTGGACCTTACTTTTATCAACATAATACTTGTATCTATTTCTTTGTTTTGACAAATGGAAAGTATTTTCCATAAATATGCTCTTTTCTTCT